ACATCTTTCTCTGATAAGGCACAATATAGATTATAAACACAAGGTAATAAGACCAAATCCAAATAAATAAATAGTGTGTGATGTTTCTGTAACAGCATTGTTACCATCTTCAGACAAAAGTACAGACTGAAGATGGTCTTCTTCTTGCTTATCTCCACTCAATCATATTAAGATATCAAGCTTGTAAAGCTTGAGACTGAAGATGGTAACAACGCTGTTACCAAAACATCACACTACTATTTATTCATTTGGATTTGGTGTTATTACCTTGTGTTTATATCATTCTCTCAATAGATGGGAGATTGTAATAGTGAAGAAATACTGTAGAATATCTCATAATGGGAGGAGATACGGCATACACACTCTCTACTTGTGTGAAGAATGGAGTCACGGTACTTATTTGGGGTTGCTACCAAGGGTAACTTTACTTTGTGGCTGTGGGCCAGGACCTCGGCTGTGGTGGGACTGGTGCAAGGACTATGGGGCAGTCCGACGTCCTCGTCCTCCTCACTGCTGCGCCGGGCATGGATCCTGGCCATCAGTTCACTCTGCCCACACACATCTCTCCTGTCTGACTATCTCCCCGCCTCGCAATATACAACCTGTTGGATGTATATATCTGTGAATATTTATTTATTATTAACCTGTTTATTCTGTGTCTAGATCAATTGTTAATACTGCCTATTTTGCATAAATTTTGTTTGTAAAATAAGTTATTCTGTTTTAATTCTTTTGACCACGGGCCAAGGTGTATAAATAGTTTTGTTGTTTAAAATAAAGTGTGTGAGTCTCATAGTGTTGGTGTGTTGGATTGATACACGAGGTAGACAGCAGCAGAGTGGAGCTTTATTAAGGAACAAAATACAGTCCTCAAGAAATTAAGGAGCTACCACAACCTATCAAACTACAGGGTAATAAGATACCAAACATAGTAAAACCCCTCTATAGAGAACCCCAATGGGACTTAACCTGTGGTTCACTATAGCCATGGTTTGTTATAGCCATAGTTCACTGTATTATAAAATAAAACTGGTGATGTATTTCTGGTTCGTTATAAGGGAAGGTTTGTTACACCGCAGATTATAGTGTGTGACGTTTCAGGTAACAAGGCAGGCAATTTTGTCTGATGATGGTAACAAATTTTTTAAAATTACAAATATTTTCTCACCATGAGATTATTTTTATTAAAAAAAACGCTAGCTTTCAAGTGATAATCGCTCTTCAACGGGCTTATTAATATAATATTAAACCCGTTGAAGAGCGATTATCGCTTGAAAGCTAGCGTTTTTTAATAAAAAAGAATCTCATTGTGAGAAAATGTTTGTAATTTTAAAAAACTTTTTCCAAAATTTTATCATGAATAGAGATGGTAGCAATGTCGTAACAACTATTTATTTATTTGGAGCCTTGTGTTTCTAATCCAAATTGTGCCTTATAAAGCAATGAAACTATTTGAAATACAATATAACGCGGCTGATGATTGTAAAACGAAAGTTATGTATGCTCCAGGGTAGCCGAGTGGACAAGGCACCTGCCCGGTAAGCAGAAGGGTGTGGGTTCGATTCCCGCCCCTGGACACTTTTTATTTTTCCGTTCTCCATTACTCTTCATGTTTCACCTTTCCATACCTCATCCTCAAAGTTAGAAATGTCGCTATTTCTCTTTGAAAATAAATTTCGATTTTTAAAAGAAACATTCGCGGTATAATTTTAATGAAAGTATTCCTCAATATATTTTTCTACTGGGGGACCCAAATAAAATAATAATTTCAATAAAATAAGAGCTCTGTGTAGCCTATTAGAGTCTCCTGTGAGAGACCATTGCCTTGAAATATGGTTAAACTCAGCCTCTCATGGAGGTGGTTGCTTATCAGAGACTCAGTCAGGTGTAGTCATGAGAAGTCTGTCAACTGAAACACTCTAATAAAGAGTTACATAAAGGAGAGTCCAGATTTATCCATATCTATGGCTATGGTCTCTCGTGGAAGACTTAACATTGGTTTAACTCAAGACAATATTTGGTGGAAAAACATCAGAATTGCCCCAACAGTCCTAAATGATAGAACCTTTAATTTATTTAAATTTAAACTCGGCCTTTGCCGGTCCCAAGCCCGGATGGAAAAGGAGGAGGGGGAGCAGTAACAAGCTTACTAAAAAACCTGGGTTCAGCTGGCCTGGTTGATTGTACCCTGTAAGGGGCTCCAGGGATACAGGATGAGCAGCATCTGTACTCCATGTTAGGAGCAGCAGCTGCACATGGCATCTGTTCCTCATTTCAGAGGCAGCCTTTTTTTTTTGGAGCTAAGTCAGTGGCCTGCCACTGAGTAGTGCTCCCAGTCTTAATGACAAAGGCAGATGCATTCTACATCACTCAGTCTGGAGATAAGAAAGAAGAAGAGGAAGAGACCACCTTCAAACCAAATGGTCCAGAAGTGGTGAAACAACAACTTGCCACCATAGAAGGAATGGTTGGCAGCAGGAAGGTGTATGACTAAGATGATAATGACCCAGAAGGAGCAAGGTTGGAAGGAAGGAAGTGATAAAGTGACAAGGCAGTAGAGTGACACAACCTCTCTCTAGCACATTTCAACCAAAAATGAAACAAGGAGAGATTTACACAAAGGACAGTTTTCATTTGCAAAATTAGCATTTTTACTATTTAGCAACTCTCCGGTAAGAGGACACCTCTCCCTAAAGGACACTTTAGCTCTGCAATTAGGTGTCTTTTACAGAGAGGTTCTACTGTATATCCAGATATATGGGTAGCTCAAGGAGAAAGGACTAGCTAGAGGAGCATGGCACTCGTGGAATTCATGTAATCTTTGCACAAGGGGATAAGAAAAAACAAAAACAGACATATGGGTCTGATGGTGTTTTATAGCCTTGTTCTGATAATCACTATACATATATTTGAAAACATCATATTATTGTCATAAGTAAAAAAAAACTGTAAACAAACACATTTTCATAATAAGGCACCATTTCGACCATAGATTATAAACCCAAGATAATAAGACCAAATCCAAATAAATAAAATAGTGTGTGAAGCGGTAATTCAAACAAAAGTACTGAATGGTTTAGTGTCATTTATTCTTGTTGTTTCTTATCCCCTTGTGAAAAGATTACACAAATTCCATGAGTCCATGCTCCTCGAGTTGTTTTATGATAAGCAATGGCCTCTCTCAAAGGTCCTGTTTAGTACATCTAATACAAGCCAAAATGTGTTCTGGAGCTGCAGGTGCCAATCTACATTTTGGGCAAGAACCATTTATTACTATTTATTTATTTGGATTTTTGGTCTTATTTTACCTTGTGTTTATAAAACTTAAGTTGTTAGCACGTGTAAATCAGGTTTCAAACAATAACTCTTATTGAAGACACACAAGATAACCAAGTGGGAACAAAATGGTCTTTGTCTCCTTCAAAAAAAAAAAAAAAGAATAGACAACATAAGACTTTCCACTTCAAGTTTTAACCATGAGTGTTGACAAAGGCAGACGCATTCTACTTCACCCAATCATGATGGTTGTCAACAGACATCATCAAAAGTCTCAAGCTTGACACCCTAATATGATTGAGTGGAGATAAGAAAGAAGAAAAAGAAGACGACCAAGAGTGAATTGTTAACAAAAATAAAACATTCCTAGAATCCTTATGAAGGTTCATCACCATCTGTGATACCAAATTTTGAACATAGTGTTGAGAGAAAAAAAGAGATATTTCAGGTTACCTTGAAGTCTGCGCAGTGCTGCGCCAGGTCCACAGAAATGGTGGCAGGATCTGGGGAGAAGATGCTGTCGTGGGAAACACTGAGTCCCACGGCGTAGGGTGCCTTGGCCACTGGGGGAAACCTGGGAACACACACAGATATAGTCGCTGGACGAGTGGGTAACACCCTCGATTCCCAACAGCCATGAACCGGGTTTGAACCCCGCGTTAAAATTTTGTTTAATATGTGAATAACCTTCATATATTATTCATTGTTACAATTATCATAAACTAGGTTGGTCTTGTTGAGCAGTACCTAATAAAGTGATTTTGGAACCGAACACAATTATTTAAACTCCTCCTTTGCGGTCTCAAGCCCAGATGAAAAAGGAGGAGGGGAAGCAGTAACAAGCTCACTAAAAAACATGGGCTCAGCTGGCCCAGCTGATAGTACTCTGTAAGGGCTCCAGGGATACGGGATGAGCAGCGTTTGTACTCCATGTTAGGAGCAGCTGCACATGGTGTCTGTTCCTCATGTCAGAGGCGGCCATTTCTTTTGGAGCTAAGTCGGCCTGCCACTGAGTAGTGCTCCCAGTCTTAATGACAAAGGCATTCTACTTCACCCAGTCATGATGGTTGTCAAACAGACACCATCAAGGGTCGCAACCTGATACCCTAATATGATTGAGTGGAGATAAGAAAGAAGAAGACAATTATTTAAACATAATTAATTAAATATATCTTTAGCTGGGGGTAGAGTTTATAATGGGATTTCAACATCAACAAAATCACTAGAACAAATTCAAATAAGAACAATTATATATGAAGCTTCAGTAACACACAGCCTTTATTGAGGATTCTCAATCAATATAGATGCTGTCTCTCTTTATCTTGAGAGACGACCTAGTGTCCATCTACTTGACCAGCTCCGCAACTCCAAGGAAGAGGCTCTAAGGACGACTATCAACCATCCAAAACTTATCCAGAACTCTTTTTTTATTGAAAAACACGCTCAATTTATATATTAAAGAAATTTACATACTAATTTATACATTAAAAGAACTTTACATACTTTTTTTTCTTAGTTTTTAAGTTACAAATATATTTACATAAAAATAAAGTTGACTACTCTAGTAGTTGTAACAGACTTGTTACCAAAACTTTATTTGGATTTGGTCTTGTTGCCTTGAATTATCTCTAATCCAAATTGTACCTCACCAACACCGACTAAGAATTGTGCTTTCATTTATTTTTCCCTCTTATATAGCCTTGGTGTTCCTAAACCTACTCTGTGGTTCTATGGTGTAATGGTTAGCACTCTGTGAACTCTGAATCCAGCGACCCAAGTTCAAATCTCAGTGGAACCTTCTTTTTTGGGCTCAAAAAGCATACACTTGGGTTAGTAGCTTGTAAAACCATATTCTCTAAACCAACTCTTAAAGGTTGTGTAGTTCCAAGTTTTTCACAACAGGAAATGTGAGTATTCAAATTTTTATTGTTTCGCATGCTCTCACATTTTGAGTAGCCTATCGTACAAGAATGCTACGTTTGTGTATAATGATTTGTTTTCTAATCCAACCTCCAATGTGTGGAGTAGTCCACCCATGTTCTGTTGTCCTTATTGAATCTACCGTATATGGATTGCTTCAAAATACATTGAGCTAAATCCCCTCTATTTTTGCATATCCCTAGTACACGTGGTACAGGCCATGATAATCATGGTGGGTAGAGGTAGGCGATTGCTTTCACTGTAAGTGCACCACATGTCTATACATGTGAAAAGCAGTTTGACTTTTGCATTTACAAATGTGCCAGAGCCCCGTAAATCCCCTCTAGTAAAGTCCTCACAATGGGGTTGGAAATCTCTATAATGAGGTAACCTTAATAAAAAAGGAGGAAATTTTGTCGGAGGGAAAATGTGTGTATGTTGCATTATGATGTTGTGGAGTGTATGTTGTGTATGTTTTATTGTGTGTTTGTGTATATGTTTTAAAAATATATATTTAATAGAATTCACCTAGCCACACTTTGTCAGTTAAACACCTTTTTAGAAAATTCAGAAGAACCTGTCCAATAGGTATAGTCAGGTTTTCACCAATATGTTCTTCTTTCTTATCTCCTCTCAATCATATAATGGTGAAGAGTAATCTGCGTAACATCCATTACAGTAGAGGGAGGGACAACCATTATTTTTGATTAAAAAAATCAGGCAAACTTCATGAAGGTGAGATGAGTGGTTATGTTGAAGTCTGTATAGACTTTGATGGAGTAAAGAACCAAGTTAAATCTTTGCCAAGAATAGAGGATGCTGGTTTCTTGCTGAATTCAGCGGACAGCCATCATGAAGAAGAGCAGGAAAATGCTTTAGTCGTCAAGACTGGACTCAATACCTCAGGCAGACTTGATCCAACAATGGCCTGGGATCAATGAAAACTACACCATTATGTACACATGATCTGTGTACATGGACCCTTATGTACATACCCTGGACACTTTTATTCTTCCGTTCATCATTACTCTTCACAATTTATCCATTCATCTCTCTAAGGTTAGAAATAATCGTTATTTCTCCTTAAAATAAATTTTGATTTTTCGTTTAAAAGAAACATTTGAGGTTATCAAACTTCGTTCTACAATCATATAAGCCGCATTATATTGTATTATATATATAAAAATGAATGTTTGTATGTTTGTTTGTATGTCCGGTATACAAATTCGCAGTAGTTCACTAATTCAAACCAAAATTTCCATACATAGGTAAAAAAAATACGGGGAAGACGATAGGCTATTTAAAAATATATATAAATCAATTATTAAAACTATATATTCAAATTATTCTACTTAGCTCACGAACAGCGCCCTCTATCAAAGATTAGATTAAATTATGCTGATGCAAACAAATAGATAATGCTAATAACAAACAATTATTTAAAAAAATCTTATCTAAATATATATCACTCGGGTAGATATGCACACGGGTCAATCCCGGTGCGAAGCCCGGGTCACCCGTCTAGTTGTATTATGAACAGACATGTTCCTACCTTTGTGTGGCTCAGATGTTCCCATCAACAGGGAACACACCCAATTATTCAATATAAATTCTGCTCTTCTCACTGATGCTGCACTTAAAGCTAGAGAAGAGTGGACATGGTTTAAGACACCAACACTGCACCATTATGTACACATGAACAGTCCTACCTTTGTGTGGCTCAGATGTTCCCATCAACAGGGAACACACCCAATTATTCAATATAAATTCTGCTCTTCTCACTGATGCTGCACTTAAAGCTAGAGAAGAGTGGACATGGTTTAAGACACCAACACTGCACCATTATGTACACATGAACAGTCCTACCTTTGTGTGGCTCAGATGTTCCCATCAACAGGGAACACACCCAATTATTCAATATAAATTCTGCTCTTCTCACTGATGCTGCACTTAAAGCTAGAGAAGAGTGGACATGGTTTAAGACACCAACACTGCACCATTATGTACACATGAACAGTCCTACCTTTGTGTGGCTCAGATGTTCCCATCAACAGGGAACACACCCAATTATTCAATATAAATTCTGCTCTTCTCACTGATGCTGCACTTAAAGCTAGAGAAGAGTGGACATGGTTTAAGACACCAACACTGCACCATTATGTACACATGAACAGTCCTACCTTTGTGTGGCTCAGATGTTCCCATCAACAGGGAACACACCCAATTATTCAATATAAATTCTTCTCTTCTTACTAATGTTGAAGCTAGAGAAGAGAGGACATGGTCTAAGACACCACCACGGCACCATTATACTCCCCTCTATGATACTTGGCACCAATGTTACAAAGAACCAAGAAGCAACATTTAATTAGATTTGGCGGCCACAGCCAGTTCTCCCACTTTCCTTGAGTTGCACCAAGGTGCTGGCTTCCATAGAGAATGTGTTCTTTGTATGCAAATTGCCACAGGTGTGGCGGCCAGCCATTTGAAAATGAAATCAAGCCCGTAGTTCACATGCAAATTTGCCTGCCAGACACACGCGTGGACCTACTTAGAAATGGACGTACCTGGCTTCATTTTTGAGAGGCTCGATCAGCTCGGTGGTGGATCGGGATTTCTTGGAGGACTGCTGGAGCTCCTCGGACTCCACTCTCCGCAGCCGGCGCCGGAACATGTTCCGCACCGCTCGGAGGGGGTGGAACCGCCTCCTTTTGGTTTCTGTGCAACCATTGATCTTTTTTATTTATTAATCAACCAGGGCGCGATGTTGAAATATTTGCGCCTTTTACAGATGAAAACAAACAAATTTTAGAACTTAGAATTAAATATTTAAATTTTTTTTTTTTGCTTATCCCTAGTACACGTGGTACAGGACATGGTAATCATGGTGGGTAGAAGTAGGTGACTGTTTTTACTGTAAGTACACCACATGTGAAAAGCAGTTCGACTTAGCACTTACAAATTTACATGTATTAATCGGCAGAGTACATAAAATTTATATAGACAAAGTGACAGATGTAAGAGAGTTGAGTGATTTAGATCAGGGAACAATCGATGTCTCACTTCTGTAAAGTTCAGACAGTCGTAGATGAGGTGAAGAGAAGAATCCTCTCATGGAGGTTCTACTGTAAACTATAATAAATGCCATCAAAGCTTATATGAAAATGTACAAATACAACAGAACCTCACTAAAACAATCCCTTTTATAAGACCAACTTGGTTCTAACACATATAATTCTAAAGTCCCAAGAGTTTTTAAGTTCCAGTTGTTTCAAGTGTAGCTATAACAGCGCCACAATTATAACTACATACAGTCGAACCTCTTTAATTCAACACCCCAAGGGATCAGAGCTTTCGGTTGAATTAAAGGAAGTGTTGAATTAAGGTGAGATGATTAGGTAATCATCTAACTCGCTAAAATAATATTTTTTTAAAATAGCCTTGTAATATAAATTAATGATATTAATTGAAACCATTGTGTGTTTTTATTTTATTTTCATGATTAACTTTTAGTATCAGGGACAAAATGGCATTAATACATATTTTAGAAACAAAAATAATTGTAACAAATAAATTTACTGGCAATGTGTTTCTTTTCTCAGTAATATAATCAAATATTAACTCTACAGACATTAAAATATTAAATATAATATATTAAATAATATTTTATTCTAATTGAAAAATATAGCAGTTGAAAGGAAATAAATATGGTAAATAAAAAGAAAATTTTAAAATATTATTTAAAAATTATCATGAAGATCTTTTTAAAAAATTCTTTATAGATGTCTGTTTTTGCACTGAAATCCTATTCAGGATGTATTCCAGACGATCATTTTGAAAAAACATGCATGTCTTTCTTCTTCTAAAATGTTTTTTTAATAAATAAATTTTAATGTATTAAAGTCATCCACTGCTGCTGCAGGTATTATTGATTTTGTGTTTAAATCTTTTATAATAACACAGAAATGGAATATTGAAATAAAATGTTATCATAATCATTGTGGCTACATTTTATAAAGATTTATTTATTTAAAAAGAAATTATTTATAAATTTAAAAATAGCTAAAATATTTCAATGTTAAAAATAAAAAAATAAAAATTATTATTAGTTAGCGCATGATGCCGAAATTCCCGCGTAAAAAAAAACCAATAACATCCGCGAAATTGCGCAACGGCACTGCAAAGTGAAACTTAAACTAACCAGAAACCAAAAGTGCGCAGGCGCGATCCGATCGGCGCCCGCCGTAATACCGTTTAGCGGTAAAGTTGCATGTAAAATAACATTCAACTGTCGAAATTCGAATTTTAAAATGGTCGAACTATCGGAACTGTCGTATTATCGATACTGTCGAATTACGGTTTGTTATTTGATAGGCCGGAGGTCGGGACATCGGAACATGGTCGAATTATCGCCAAGTGTCGAATTGGGGTGTGTCGAATTAACGAGGTTATACTGTATAATCCCAAGTGATAGTACAGTAAAAACTTCCATGAGAGGACACTCACACTAGAGAACACCTCTCTACTAAGGAAAACAGTTTTCATTTGCACAACTACAATTTTTACTATTTAGCAACTCTCTGGTAAGAGGACACACCTCTATCTAAATGAAACTTTGATTCTGCAATTTGGTGTTGTGCTTTACAGAGAGGTTCTACTGCATTATAACAAGGATCGGGGGTCGGTGGAAGGATGGTGTACACCGTTTCGACCGTTACGACCTGGGTTCGATTCCCGCATTGGGCACTTTTTTTTCTGATTAAAAAAAAAAAATGCTCCAATGGGCCCCGATTCTTGCAAAAGTCCAACCCCACCAGTGCAAGTAACCAAACAGGGCTCTGGCACATTTGTAAGTGCAAAGTCGAACTGCATTTCACA